ATAGCTTAACCAGAAATATGGGCTTGATTGCTTGGTAAACTTCTATGACCTGTGTTATGCCGGAGGTCAGACTAGATGATCATAATAGTCTCTTGACCATAAAAATCTATAACTCTGTGCTTTAGTTAAATGGAATCAGCAAAAGGAAATTGCTGAGGGGGGGGGCTTTTCAAAGGTGAGTTAGGCACCCAACTTTCATTGACCATCAGTGGGAGTTGGGAGCCTGATTCCCATGTATGACTTTGAAAATCTCCCTCTAGAAATGTCCAGCATAATGCACTCAACTACACACCGAGTGCAAGGCAACAGATTTGACCAATGATTCATTGCATGTTAAGATTGGTGTATGAACCTTAAAGGGTTTTGATAAATTAAATTTGGTCGGCCTGCATACACTCACCAGGATAGACAGGATCCCAATCTTATCGAAACCACCCAGGTTTCTTAAACCTGTACAACTGGCCTGGGAGTCTGAGGATAGGCGTTGCCTCAGGTGGTTTCTCATATTTCTGCTTCTCTGTAGGATAATACTACTGCAATAAGAGCCTCTCTCAGGACTGGTTTAGGCAAGAGAATTTTAGTAAAATATTCCTACCACTGGTTCATCTGTACTACTTTGAGTATCTTTGACGACCCTGCCTACAGCATGGATAAAAATACCAGAAGCCACTAGAGCCTTGTCTATGCAAAGACTGCAACAGAACCATGATGGTGGACACCATCATGTACCTCAGGTATTTATATGCCCCCTCCACCCCGCAATCACAATAATATCTGAGCACATCACACCCTTTAATGTAATTATCTGCACAACACCTCTGTGAGGTATGGAAGGGCTGTTACCTCAATTGTACTGATGAGGAACTGAGAGACTTAGTGGGAATATCCTGTTGAAATTCTCTCTTGGGAAAGTCTGAAGTTTCAGCATTTCCACTCGCCAGGCCCAGCTGGAATGTGAGAATGAAGTGAGATCATGGAAGAGTGAACGCAAAATGTATTTGTTACGGGAAGTTAACAATGTTTGGCTCAGATTTTAGGATGAAGCGCCCAGGAGTCTGGAGGGTTAATTTTATCAAAGTAAGTTCACGCATCCCTAAATGAGACCTCAATCTCTTTCTTTGATCACCAAGTGTACGAGCTTTCTTGATATATGTACACTGCACACAACATTCACCGCTGTGGGCCAGATACATCCCTGGTGTAACTCCACTAAGTCAAGTTCTACTGAGATGATTTTTGTCTCTCAAACTCCACGTTGTTCCTCAAGAGTAGGACTCTTGACCACTAGGAGCCGATTTTGAATTATTCCTGCAACATATGTTGTACTAAAAAAAAAACAATGAGGAGTCCGGTGACACCTTTAAAGACTAAAAGATTTATTTGAGCATAAGCTTTTGTGGGTAAAAAACCCACTTCTTTTGATGCATGGAGTTAAAATTACAGATACAGGCATAAATATACTGACACATGAAGAGAAGGGAGTTACCTTACAAGTGGAGAACTAGTGTTGACAGGGCCAATTCAATCAGGATGGGTGTGGTCCACTCCCAATAATTTATGAGGAGGTGTCAATACCAAGGGAAGGAAAATTGCCACTGGACTCCTCCTTTTTTTTGTAGATACAAACTAACACGGCTACCCCCGATATGTTGTACTACAACTCTGCTATATTATATGAAACTGACCGGGTCCTACCCCTTCCTTTATAAGATTAGTGTATGTCCAGTCTAAGAACCAGTTATTGAAAAACAGTAGAATCACCTAAAGGGACAAGATTGGCAGGAAATCTACCCTCCCTCTCCACTTGCTGAAAGGAGTGCTGAGAAAAGGAAGGGTAAGGGAAGGACTGTTTTGTGATTAAGTTATCAGAGGTGGATCCAAAAACCTACACTTATTCCCAGCTCTGCCAGAGACCGGACTGTGGCACCTTAATAATAATATTTTCGTTGTGAAATCAGTATTATCCTCAGATAGTTTGGATTAACAAGATAACAGATACCTGGGTAAACCTCATTGTTGACAAAACAAAGTTGATTAAAGATGGATGCTTTCTGAGAATATATAAAATACAGGTCACTTACGATTTGTTGTACTTCACTGGCAACCCTGACTGTACATCTGGGTAACAGTAGTTCTCCAGCAGAGCATTCCACTGGCACTTTGTCATGCAGCTAGGGAGATTACTGCAAAGAGCTAGCTGTAGTTGGAAGGATGAAGAGCTAACTTGTTTGTGTGTAACAAGCTGCACTCACATAAGCTTATCTAAACTACTCTAGCTTTGTGAATAATAGATTTTGCAGTTTGTTGTCAATTCTGAGTTTGTATTTTAGATTGCTTTAGGTTGAGTGGAACATTTTATTTTGACAAAATTGAAATGTTTTGTTTTTAAAAGTTTGCGATTGTTTCAAAATTTCCTTTTCTTTGATTATAAATACCAGTCATTTTAAACAGAAAAATCCAAATACTTCATTTGAAAAAGGTCAAAAAGAAATGTTTTGATTTTTTTTTTTTTGGTGGGTTTGTTTTTTAGTTGACTGAAACAAATGGTGAAACTAACGTGAAGTTGTGAAATGTTTTGATGTTGCTGAATCTGCATTTTTCACTGAAAAGTTTTACGAAAAACTTTGCCCAGCTATCATCTGAATAGAAACTAGGAAAGCACTTTAAATTAATACAACAAAGAACCCTTTTAAAAATATGTTTTCTTATAACCATTTCATTTCTTAGACTATCTGAAAAGCCTGAAACAACCTATCTGGAAAATTTAGCTCAAATTCTTCCTATGATTCAGTTAATATTTATGTGAATGCTTTGAGATCTATCAGAAGGATTTATATATATGCGTTATATAAAGGCAACCATACAGAGAGATCACAATTATAGATTCCCTGTTGGACTACAGAGATGCACAGCAGGATAGAACAACTAGAGTAGTATGCAGTACTGTACATTAAACTTAATGGAGCATGAGACTGGAGTCCTGTTTTGCTGTTAATTACCATATAGATTTTTAACTACTAGGATAAGGCTTCCAGCCAAAAGTTCCCTCCTGTTTTATGCTGGACAATACATGGGGGAGGTCAGGTTGTGGAGACAGAGTGGCTACAACTAAGCTTCTAGGGATGGGCGTTCAGAAAAGCCAACATTGCTTGAGAATTAGGTTTTGTCTACACTGGCAAGTGAACGACAAAATTTTTGTCATTCAGAGGTGTTTAAAAAACACCACCCTCGAAAGACAAAAGCTATGCCAACGAAAAGCACTGGTCTGAACAGCGCTTTGTCGGCAGGAGCGCTCTCCTGCCGACAAAGCTGCCGCCGCTCATTGGGGGTAGAAGTTATTTTGTCAGCGGGAGAGCTCTCTCCTGCCAACAAACTGTGGAGACCCTGCGCACCTTTTAGCGGCACAGCTGTAGTGGCTGCATAGTGTAGACATAGCCTAAGTTATCACTGGCCTAAAAAGTGCATGGGTCCAGGGTATCTGGGACATTATTCTAATGTTGTATTTCCCATAAAAGTCTCCCTGGGGCCAAGGCCTTGTTTACACTAGAAGAGTTTTGCTGGCATAGCTATACTAGTGCGCATGCAGTTTACATTGCAAGAGTGCTTTTGCCAATACAGCTTATACTGGTTCCCCAAAAGAAATACAGTATTCCAGAGAGAGACTGTCTTTTGCCACTATAATTGCATCTAGACTAGGTCTTTTGCTGATAACAAAATAAGAGTTCGCTCACCCCTAAGTGACATTCTGTTGGCCAAAGTTTCTAGTGCAGACCTGGCCTGTGTTCCCTCTAAAGTCCTCTTAGATCTTGTCTACGCTAGACTTTTTTTCCTGCTCAGATTTCCCTCTGGTAAAAGGATCAGAAAGAGCTTTATAGGAGGAAGGCTCCAATATCTTAATTGTCTCCTCTAGATCGGTATGTTCTAAAAAGGATTGACACTTCTATGGCTACCCGAGAATCCAGATTTTTCATAATTATGATAATACTGGAAGCGATATTAAACCTCGTGCTTCGGGTCTTAAGACAATCCTCTAACTATTACAGCACAGGATGAGACCTAAGGTGTGGGGTAGACTGTCCCACACTTGCCTATTGTGAGACCCTTGCACTAATGTTCTGGAGTAAATGTTACTGGCCCCTGTCAGAGACAGGATGCTGGACTAGATGAACCCTGGGGTCTGATTCAGTCAGGCAATTCCGATGTTCCCGTCCCGTAATGGACAACACCCATGATTTGGAGGGAGCAGGGATAAAAACTGAAATGTTAAGGTTCAGGTAAGAAGGGCACTGAGCTAGTATTGTGTTGTAATTTTTTAATTATTTATGGCATTCAGTGCTAATTGTGTAAAAAAAAAAAAAAAAAAAAAAAAAAAAAATCATGGGGAGGGGAAGGAGATGGACTCCTGGTTAAGCACCAGGTTAGTACTCAAAAGTTGGGCTCAGTTCTGTGCTGTGTCAAATTTTTCTGTGTGACCCTGGACACGTCACTTAACTTCTTTGTACCCTCAGTTTATCTTCTGTAAAATACTGCCTCTCTCCCAGCCTTTGTCTGCCTTGTCTACTCAGGCTGTAAACTCTGTGGCGCAGGGACTGTCTTACTATGTATATGTACAACACCCAGCACAAGGTGTATGGGGAGATGTCAGCAAACAAGTAAAGTACCTGACACCACTATGGCTTATTGCTAAAAGCAGCCAAGTCAGCAGGCCTTGCAGCAGCCTCAGCTTGACCAAGGCAGGAGGGGAGGGGAGGAGGTTTGGGGTGCCACAGAAAGGGCAGCTTGACCCCACGTCCTTCCTGATAAGAATTGTGTTGAAGTTGCTGATACATGCATTTAATAGAAGAGCAGGATGTGCCCTCAGGAATGTGTCTGTCAGGGTCTCAAGGCTGCCAACCCTGGGGAAAAAAACACACCTGGTTAATCAATAATCAGAAGAAAACCTCTTGCTTGACCGTTGAAACTGCTTGCTTAACAAGTTTTCTCTGAGGGACGTGTCATGGTATTACTTTGTATAAATAAAGGGGGAAAAGTTTGAGGTAGTGGGACTCTTCGGGACTGGACTCTCCCTCTGGATGCATCTTGTGTTCCTCACTGGCAGACGGGCTGCCGCTGTGCCACTCTAGAGCCACGCTCAGCTTCGGTAATTATCGAGGGTTGGGGGTATTTCATTAACCTGTTGCGGATATGTGTAAGTGCTTGAGACTAAGTAAAGTGTAGCTTTAAGTGAAAGCACTCTTGTGTTGTCCCATTTGTGCCAGCTATCTATCGATCAGATGGCTGTGTCTCCCCGGATTTATTTCCTGACACCACCTCGTAGAGAGTAAAAGTTACCAGGAGCTTTGGGTTGAAAGAACCCCTAGGTAACAAATGGGAGTCACTCTGCTGGACTACAACTAATAAAAATTTGTGCGTGTTTGTGTATACAGACACACACACACTTTGTACAGTGCACCCTGATTAGAAATGCCTGTTTTGCATAGGAATTGCCAGACTGGATCCTTGATCCTTCTAGTCCAACGTTGTGTATCTGACAGCGATCAGCACCAGATGTTTCAGGAGAAGGTTTCAGAAGCACTGCTGGTTATTCTCTTAGCTTCCTACCACTTAGAAGTATTTGAATAATTTAATGGAACAATACAATTGCTAAACTTACACTCCAGTCGAGAATGAAGTATACAATTATTTAATGAAATCCCAATTATTTCCAAAGGGAGCTTTAACACAGGTACCAGCATGGTAAGGTCCAAGCTCTGACACCAATTAAGATAAGATAACAGCTTGTGCATTCACCGATTTTGAAAAGTACCCATTATCTATCGTCATAAAAGAGATGAAAATATCTTGGCTTGCTGTGCCATTAAACTGTCCTTCATACACACTGTTGTATATTAAAAAAAGAGTGGTGAAAAGATTTAAACAAACGCACTGAAACAGGGCATCTCACATATGCCCTTTCTGTCTGTGGAATGGATTGAACATCTCTCCAGAGTTCCCCTGGCCTAGCCTGCCAGCCTAACACCGTAGTGCCTACCAACAGAAGTGATGAATAGAGACAATCATTACCACATGATGGGACGTTTACATATCTGTTGTCTCAAAGGCTGAGGTAATTTTGCAACAGTGATAGGTTAGAATATAAGCCCACTTCTTGTGCTTTACGTGTCTCTTGTCTAGTCTGATAACTGGAGATTGATTGTCACTAGCTGGGGTGACTGACTGACACCGGTCTGACTTACATTCACAAATTTAGCCTATAGATTACTGAAAGGATTTATTTGGTGGACGAACTGGCCTCACAGAACTACACAGCAGGGGGAGTGTTGAAAGTCTTGGTGTGTGCAACTTGCTGTAGCTTTTGCAAGAGTTCTTTACAACTGGTTGAATTTTTTCATATCTGAAGCGTTTTCCCTACACAAATGGGTCTTTTTACTCACAACTGGTAACTTGCACAAAGTTGTGTTTGAAATTTTCCAGTTTCTTTTACAGAAAGCAAAAATTGCAAAATGTTTTGAATTTTTGGTTGTGGGTGTGGGGTCCTGTTTGTTTGCTGCTGGTTTTTTGTTTTTTCCCTTGTAATCACTGAATGCAGTGGAATGAATGATGTCTGGGGGATTTTAAGACTTTTTTTTTCCAATTTTTTTCATTTTAGAAAAGTTACAGAATGCTAAAAGGAAAAATGAAACTCTTTTAGTGTGTGTGTGTGAGAGAGAGAGAGAGAGAGAGGAGAAAAACCCTTAACACCATTATTTTTTTTTCACTGAGTGGTAAAAAGAGGGCCTGAGGCTGGGAAGGGGGGGAATTCCAATTTTTTTTTTAAAAGAATGAAAAAATGTTCCATTTCCACTCCTGCACGAAGGAAATCACTTCCAAATGTTTCCCAACATTTTCACATGTAGATTTGCTATATCTAAAACACAAACTGCACTTCTCCTTTATCTTCTAGCATGCCAGTTTAAGGATGTATTTCCTTAGAGAAGTGTCCTATGTCGTCTTCTCTCAAAAAAAAGAACAGGAGGACTTGTGGCACCTTAGAGACTAACAAATTTATTTGAGCATAAACATAATCTACCCTTGAAACCCTCATTCCCTTACAGTAATGAAATAATTTCTTTTGGAAGAAAGTTTTGATTCTACATCATGGGAGCTATTAAATTCCCAAGAGTCACTCCCTTTTTTGTTCCACCACATCTACTTGAACTTTTATACACACAGCAACAGCAAATTCAACATGGTGTCTCCATGTTTAAAAATTCCCATTAGATAAGCAGTTATCTCTGAACTGTAGTTTCTGAAGCGCCCAGTGTTCTGTTAAGTAAAGTAAAGACAAGCATCACGCTGAAGCCAATATCTTAAAAAGACCACAAAATGCCTCTTCATCGTATATTAAAAGTGGCAGACAATGCCTTGACTAAGGGAGGAAAAGCCAAGGAGCTTGCAAGGGTAATTCATGTTTCACTGCTAACAGACAAGGGTTCTGATTTTTTTTTTCTTAATTTAAACCGCTCTGCATTTCACAGAACAGATACCAAAACTGATTCTGCTCCTTCAGGCTAAATGTGTGAAAATGCTGAATGACGGAATCACCTAAGGGTAATAAATCTGCCAAGTGTTTTGTTAAACAGCTATTCAGTTTGAAATGCATCTCAGAGTACTAGAATAACAATAGGCTATTGTACTGTATGGTACATTAATTATATAGTTGACAAGAAAATTACCCTTCAAATCAACATTAGAAAAAACTTCACTAGATCAGTTTTCCTCTACTGTTAAATATATTGTCATCCAGAGGTTTTACCAGCCTCTCTTCACAATTAAAATTTAACCATCATGGCCATCAAATGTTTAAGGGTGACTGCTTTGGTATATCACCAGATACTGGTGCCACCTTCCTAAATGTTAATGTTTATGAGAAAAACAATACTGAAGAAAGCCAGAACTAGTAAAAAGCAGATTCGCAAAGCATTTAGCCGCTATAGTAAGAGTTGCTTGAATTTGTCACGTATGTATACCCTAAAATATCTACTCTTGCAGATGCTGATAATCAGTCTGAAGAAGAAGCATCAGTGTTTAAAACATTCTCCTCACACAAGTGGAATGCCAAGTCTCAGAGGCAACACAAAGATATTGGGTTTTTTTTCTTCCCAAACAATTCACAATGTCTAAATGCTGCCAGGCTGTGAACAAAGTACATGGGTTCTATAGGCAAATTTCTCCTTTCACATCTTCCATGGCAGTACTTGAATACCCAAATTTTCAAAGTGCATATGCCCAGCACTAAATGTGTGTACAAAAGTCAGGGTTGTGCAAAGGTATGTGTGCATACAAATACCTGACTTGCATGTTCTAAGCTGATGCTGGATGCATGCAAGACAGCCATAAGCAAGTGCACCCCCACTTTATCAATTTCAGGCTATATTCTCAAAACTGTTCTTCCTACTTATATTGTCCATTGGCACCAGTGCAAATGCTGTACAGGCAGGGAAATAGAATATCTAAGTTGATCACAGCCCTGCAAGTATGACAGGAGAATTTTGCTGTATAATATTTTGATTTAGTGAGACAACTATATTCAGGTTGTGTGTGTGTTTAAAATAAAAGTTTGCATGAAAAAAGTAATTCTTAATTTGAATGTGGTCAGTTTCCAAAATGCCATATTCAGGTTTTTTTTTTCTTTGTTAAAATCCTCCAAAAAGCATGAGCAAATTCCAAATAGTGAGTTCCCAGCACCGATGGAGAAAAGCAGATTTGGTATTGACATGAAATTAATTATTGATGGGTGTTCATTTGCGGTATTTGTAGATAGCAGTTCTGGAGTATTTCTTTGCTAGCTAAATGGCAGAATTTTAGTGCAATGTCACTACTCTGAATACTGAACAATGAATGTCATTGTTTTTTGGCAAATGATTTGACAGGACTAATCTGATTACAAAAGAAAATACATTACACATACAATGTGTAAATTGAATGACTGCTTATAGATCTCTTAACTTCAGTATTGTGCTTCTTATCTGTAGTTTATCAAATTTGGTGTGGTTTTTTCCCCTGGGTTAATGTAATAAAACTTCTTAAAACCAAACAATTCTCAAGAATGGTACCACTGAGATTTGCCATCATGGCCTGTGGTTGTTTTTAGTTTTAAAAATATCTTTTCTTTTTAAAATTGCCTGTAAATAAATTGTTCCCATACATATACCTTCAGGACTAAATACATACTCAAGGATACTTCACATTCTTCAAGTATTGCAAATTTACTACTAACATAGATTAATGGACATCATAAAATTATGACTAAGTACTGTAGTTTAAAAAGCCACGATAGCTTCAACTGTTATAGGACCCATTTCAGGAAAGCATTTAAGCATTGCATTACAGTCAATGGGACTTAAACATGTGCTTAAGTGTCTTGCTGAGTAGAGAGGTGCTTACATACAGGTCTTAGAAGCCTGATCCAGAGCCTACCGAAATCAATGGGAGTCTTTCCATTTACCTCACTGAGCTTTGGATCATATGTCTTAAAGCGCTTTTGTGACACCAATGGACCCCAGTCAAACGGATTGAACTTAGGACCTCTGAAGTTTAGTGTATGTGCCTCTAATGCATGTGCTAAAAGCCACGTGGCTCTTAGCGAAGGCTGTAGCAGCCACATCAGTCTCTAGATGCCACAAAAGAGGGACAGAGCACCAAGCAGGCAAGGGTTACACTTTGCTGAATTGAGTTGATAAGGAAGTCTTTCTGAATTGACTCAATCCTTGCTGAAGTTATGGACACTATCATAATACTGCTAATAATAATAATAAAGAGTAAATACCTAAGGGCAGTCAGAGGAATATTCTTAACAGATCTTCACTTGGAGAGCTCAAATTGTGATATAGTGCATCACTCTATGATTCGCCATTATACAAAGATGTAACCATGTGGGGGCGTCTGTTGCCATTCACCAATCGGTCTGCTATAAGAAATTACAAAATTGCATTTCACTACAGGCATTGAAGTGACAGCAGGCTGTCTCTTAACCCAGTTAGCAAATTGTATTCTATTCTGATTTCAGCGCAAAGTGAAATCATAATACACACTGAAACACTGTTCATCAGGGGTTCTCAAACTGTGGCCCACAGACTAGTTATGATCTTGGAAATATTTGCTGGTGATTGATGGAGAGCTGACTGATCACATAGTGTTTTCCTTCTTTCTATCTGCTAAATTACATTAAAAGACTCTTTACAATACTTTAAGGATAAAATTTTCAAAAGTGACAGGCAGTTGGGGACAGTTTATTACAGATATTTAGGCTTCTAAAGATACAGATAGACACCTAATCCTATTCTTAAAAGAGTGTAGACACCTAACTCCCCTCGACATCCATGTTAGGTACCTGAGTGATATAAAAATCCTAGGCACCTAACAACCTTTAAAAATCTGGCCCTTAGGAACATAAGCCCCATTGACATGAAAAATAGCGTAGCCTAAGTTGTATTTACAAAAACAACTTGGGGTAATGTTTTCAAAAGCACCCAAGCCTCATCAATAAGACTGAAGTAGGGAGAAGCAGATCTGTGAGATTGTCTTATAGATGCCTCCCTTCCAATTGACACTCTCCATTAAAGAGGTGGCCCATGCTATGAAAGTTGGAGAACCCCTCCTGTATATAAAATACATGATCACAGGATAAATTAAAAATCCATGCAGCCCCCATTAACTTGTCAGTTATTTCCATGAGTTACACAGTAAATGACTGCATGGCACACGAGGAGTAAATTGAAATAAAGCCCCAAATGGTTTGTGTAAATGAAGCTGAAATTGGTTCAGGGTTCACTGAGCCCTTCAAGCTAAATCTTGAAACCCTTCAGTCTAGTTTCAATCATATGGGGCTTTGACAGAGTGAGTTTTGGTTCTGAAGACTCTTCTAAGGTTTCTGTTTTCAGAGCTAGCCCTAATTTCTACACCTCAAATCTATTTAGATTTAAATTGGGGTAAGGGTAGATGCACAGATACTTTTAAAAATTTCCCATGCAACAGGAAGCACATTTACCTGAGCATTTTAATGATGATGCACCTCCACACTGTAGTTCAAACTTGCATTACCAGTTGCCAACCAGTTTGCCAGTTTAACGGCTGCAAATGTCCTTTGAGCATCCACCATCATCCCAACAAAGGAACTGTGTTTGCTACAGGTTAACTCCTGCTCTCCTCAGTGCTCTGTGTTGTATGTAAATGCAAGTTAAAATTAATGTAAGCTACAAGTTAATGTAAGCTACAAAGAAAGCGACATTCCACAACATACATTAATACTCTGATTCAAAGCAGAGCAATCAAGCACTTGCTGATTTTTAAGAACCTATTTGAATTCCAATGACTTCAATGGGACCTAACTGTGTGCTTAAGTGCTTTGCTGAATCAGGGCCTAAAGAAGCAAACTGATGATTCAAGTTAGCAATACATTCCAATCATAAAAATTATTATTATAGGCAAAAATTGATCATGCAGTATATCATCCAGTGTCTTCAAAACCCAAATTTAACCCACAGTGCACCATTGTCAACAGTTGGATGGTCTCACTAGTTTAATTCACTCAGTAGAATCTTTATGAAACTTTGTATGAAATGTGTGATTATGAGAGAGATGTCAGGTTATAACAAAAGAGAGTATTTAACTCCAGTGAACAGAATACAGGAAACAACTTACCCATCCATATTTCAAGCTTCTTGAAGCAGAAGAGAAAACAATCCTATCAGTTAATAAAGAACAAATCCAAAAGTAGGAACAATCCTGTAAACAAACAGCACATTACTGTACCTAAACCAAGAACTCTGCCATTGCAGGGCCATGGGGAGGGGGTGTATTGAGAAGAAAATAAGAAGAGACTGAATAGACTCAGTCTTTGCTTATGACTTACCATTAAGTGGAGGGAATCAATCCAGCGCACATTTGGCCAGTCAGGGTCCCTCTAAGATCCCCGAGAGCAATCAGCCTGACATCAGGCCATAATTGGCATTTTGGGCATTAGCCTATCATGCCATCAGGAGTCCTTCCCAGGTATAGTCCTAGCAGGACTGTCCCTGTTGATTACAATGGGACCTCAGAGGCTGGTCCAAAGTAATTTATGGCTCACACAATTGTATTAATGGCATGGATATTAAAAGTATCAACTTCTAGACAAGAAAATATTTAACTGGCTTGAAATTAGGAGGTACCTATTTTTCAATCAGTACAGTTACTTAATGGAAATCTGAAATCATTCCAAGAGAAAGACAATGGAAATGTAATAAATAACTATGTATTTTTTAAAAGGAGAAAAATTAAATGATCTATAGAAGGCATGGAGTAGTACACAGATTTTCTGTGAGATACTGGATTTTGATCAATTTTTAACACTGTATTCCTTTGAAGGAAAACACAATAAGAAAATATTTCGCTTATAGATGATTTTCATTGCAGCCACCAAATGTTAATCCTACTGAAAAGTAAATCATTATAATTCTATTACGCTTTTCATGATACATTCCAGGTACAGTTTGCAAGCCAGTAGGGAATGCAAAGTAATAAATCTCATACCTAGAATGGAGTAGTTTCCAATGAAGCTTTAAAAAACAAAGACAAAACAAAAAGCAGATAATCTCTTCAAATTCTCCCATGCTGCCAAGTAAAACACCAGAAAATGTTTGCATTGTCCTGTTGAAACTCTCTCCAAAATATTCAGCATGACAAAAATTAATAATGGTTTCTGTTTTATTCTTATGGGGCTCACATGCTGCCCCATTGAAATCAAATGTGAAACTCAGACGGAATTCAGTGAGGGTAGGATTGGGCCCTTGTCAAGGCTTGGTCAAGCAATGTTAACATAAAGAAGGTCTAAATTCACTGTTGATATTATTCACAATGAATAGGCCCACCAGATCAAGCTCTCTCATACTGAATTCTTGTAGCATCTTATATGCTTAGTGTGTGTTAAAAGATATGCCAGTGCTGCAGCTGTAATTAAGGTTTGTTGAGTTACTATTTCCATTATGAAGCCCACTTTTCAGGGTTTAATAAGTCTGCAGCTCCAAATCAGATCAGGTTGAAACTTGACATCCAAGTTATCAATACGGAGATACAATTTGTGCTCATCTGTTTATCAAAAATATAGTTTATATCCACTCAGCTGTTGCTGAATTACAGAGGTCTAAAAAACATGGGTGTATTTTTTTTTCAGATGGTCTTTCAGCAGTTTAGAACTTAAACATACACTCAGGACGTAATTCAACTCTAATTTAGGTAAGTCTGGGCAACTCTCAGTGAAGTTAACAGGAGAGCCTCCTGTGTTTTGCTTGGACTAATTTAGCCCTACGTGCTCCTTATTTATTGGCAGGAATTCCTTTACATGGAATGCATCCTTTGTGGTACTTTGCCATTTTAAGCAATTTTTGCATGTTTGCTTCAAACACTCACCTGCTAATTCTTAGAGTAAGTAGAATCCAGCAGAATGAGTCATAGCATAGGCAGAGGTTAAGAGTTTGATCCTTCTAGCATTGTAGTCAATGCCCTTTAATTCTGTGATATCCTTTTTGAGATGGGAATGACCAGAGCCATATAGGGTGTAACATTGCTCTATATAATAACCTTATGATATTTTTATGTTAAACTCAAAGTTAAGGGAGACAGAATTATATTATAGTCCAAGAAAAGGAGATGACTGACTAGTACTGGAACTGACAGTTCTGCAGCTGAGTGGAAGTGCTGTATATTCATGCACAAATAATGTATATTGTATGTGTAATTTATACATAAGTTCTTGCATATCTTTCTCCTCTATGAACACTGAGTATTCCAATAAAGATTTCAGAGGGCCACCTGCATGCTGGAGTCTGATTATAAATGACTAGCCAACCATCTTGATTTATCATATCAACCACAGCTGTCTTGATCTTAGCCTCACAGCCATTCTTTATTCTTAGTATGGAAACAGGAGTTATCTCCATCCTGGGGAAGAAATTGTACAACAAATAATTAAAATGAAACACGTGGGGGTGGGGGAAATTTCTTCTTTTTTCTACCAGAAACCAGCTGTATAGAATGTAAAAACAAAAGGAAAATATATCTAATATTTCTCTCTCTCTCTATGTGTGTGTGTGTGTGTGTGTGTATGTGTATATATATATATATATATATATCATATACACACACACACACACACACACATATATACAAATACACACACACTCTTTTATATAAAAGTGTGTGTGTGTGTATATATATATAGAGAGAGAAATATTCAATGTGTATTTAATATATATTTGGCACCCATTGAATTTAATAGGGGTGTGTGTGTATACATGTCCTTGACACTTAAGTCAAAGGTGTGTGAATTTCAGTAGGAGTTAGGTACTTAACTCCCTTAGGCTCCTTTGAAAATCCCAGCATTTGCTGAAAGAGCATAGATATGGCCAGATCCTCAGATGGTGAAAGCTGATGTAGCTCTATTGATTTCAATGTTACAATACAGATTTAGACCAGCTGAGAATCTGGCCCTGGTAGTTTTCACCTTTTTAAGAGCTCAAAGTGTTTTTGCTTCAGCACAGAGACAGGTGAAGAGTAGAACTCCTCTCCTCACGAACAATCAAAATGAATTTCTTCCTCAGTCATGACAGTGATACCCTCAAAACACCTGACAGTGATTCACTTCTTCCTCTGTTAACCCAGGCATTCACTGAGTCCTATCTTGTTTCAATGGAGTCTTTGTGAGACAAAAGGTAGGTAGTAACAATCTAAATGGAGTGACAGGATGTCCTGATAAAACATCCAGGTGTTGCTTTCTGAACAGTTTTATGTACACGGTATTTCAGCAAACAGCAGCTCCAGAACCCCACCTTTGTTGTGGTCAACAGCATAAATGCAACTGAAGACGACTGCACTGAAACTATTGGCTATAAATCGGATGTGTATATCCCAGTGTGTACAAGGGTATGCCTGGTGTGCCTGACACACATACTTATGAGACTTCAGCAAACCAACCAGAAGAATTACTCTGTATTTGTCAACAAGAAGACAAGCCTACTGTGCATGGTGATCTTCGTTGTACTAGAGCTCTGACAACACATTAGTTGGAATGTAGTTTCACGTGTCCCATTGGGGAAGGAATAAACAACATAAATATTGCCCCCGCAATCCTTTCAGGACCTTGTGTACGCTGGGGAAATTGACTGTCGGACCTATTCCACTATAATTTAGCTATTCTGGAATAGTTTTCCCATATGGACACCTATTCTGAAATAAAAGTGATTTGATTCTGGAATGTTTACTCTGTTGTGTGAATAGAGTAATTATTCTGGAATGTAGTCACATGTATTCCAGAACAGAGTGTCCACAGAGGGAGCTATTCTGGTCAATTTCCCCCCCTAGCAAGTTAATCTGGAAATCATGGACACACTCAGTCTCACAGGGTTTTTCAAATGCATGTAATTTGAAAAACGCAACCAACTGATTTGTGAAGCATCTCCAGAAAAAAGGAGATGCAACTCTTACAGTATGACTTTCATGGAGACAAAACTCCCCTCTCAAGGCTGCCAGCACTCCTGGAATACAAGTCTGGTCGGGATGGTGAGTGAGATTTAGCCTCTTCTTCAACTATGCAATGAAATACAGAAGAACATTTAACAGTGTATTTCTTTTCTGTATTTAGATCAGTAGTAGCAGTAGATTTTGCACTATTAAGGTCAAGAGGAATTTTGCCTTTTACTTCAATACAAGCAGGACTGGGTCCCTGAAATCTTATGCCAAGAAAAACCTGGTCAAACCACTTAAAATATTTTAAATATTTTAAACAAATCAAATGAGAAATGGACCTTTTACTACCTATTCTGTAGACGCATATCTGGCAGAGAACAAGGGAGCCAATGATTGTCTACATAACACCAACATGGATCTAGTTATCAATCATAATTGGTAACACAATTTATAGGGCATGATACTGCTCTTACACTCATGAGAACTAGAGTGTCTTTGTTGAAGTCAATGCAGTTACAATAGTGAGAGAGTAGAAAATCAGACCCAGGGATTTTATTTCGCGTTCCCCCCTTGACACTGAGATAGCATTTATTGGCAATGCCTATGAAGGCTAACAATGTTAAAGCACAACAAAATGAGAAGGTGAGCCCATTTAAGTTGATAAAATATCTCAGATGTGTTATGTAATGTTCAATATAGATTTTGATTCAACTTGACCTTTAAAGGAATTATCTGTTCCAGCCAGCTGCCAAATATACCTGCTCAATAATGTGTCCAAATTCATTAACCATTTTGTTTTAATAATATTTCATTTTAAAATTAAATTTTATCCACACATTAGCTTCATATTTCTTATGCAAATATTGGCTTCATGGCTATATTAGCTATAATTCATTATTTTTCCCTACTGGCTCAGTGAAGGAATTTGTAATTTTGGAGTACATCCAGCATTTTTAATTGAAGATAGGGAAGTCTACATTTAGTTAAAATCATTTGCACATACAAATTAAAAACAATTAGCATACGATTCTAATATACTTTGCACACTTTGGGCTAGTTTGCGACTTTATCTGTACCCCAAATGAGGGGTAATGCATGGATGTAGCATCCTAGGAGCAACAATGGCTCTCACAAGGGAAGGGAGGGAAGTATGGCTCTCACAAATGGCACTGAAGGGAATTAATCTGCTTATTGGCCCATTCTGCTCTGCTCATCTGTGATGGCTAGTAAGTTGGGGAAGAGCAGAGCCAGGATTCCATCCATTCCCCACGTCTTTGACCATGCACCACTTCCCTGCATAGGGAAAGATGGAAGTAATGGCTGTACCATGACTAATTTCCGCACATGCACTCAGATTTGGTGATAAAGAGATGCCACCCCATAGACCAAGGGAGCCTCAAAGTTTTGTTGCCAAGTGGCAAAACTAAGGATACTAATGCTGCTGGGGTGGAAAGTTCTTGGGCATCTTCAGTCAACCACATTTCTTTGCATCTCAGAATTAACTTCACTTAAGATATGTATCAGTAAAGGGATATTGCAAATACAGGGCATCTGTAATGGTCAAATAACTGTGTGTTGACAAAGGACCCCTTCTCCTCTACACTCACCTCCATGCAGAATCGGGCCTTAATTTCTCTGAAATATTAAGAAAATCATTTTGAGCATATTTCTTTCCTTGTGTTCTAAATAGGCTTGCATGAATTAAGAACGTATGCATGTTTACTTTATTATGTCCCTAGTCACATAAGGACTCTGGGTATCTTCCCCATCTCCTAGAGAACAAGACATTTTAATTAGCCAATTATATTAGTAAAAAGCAATCTAATTTCTAGGTCAAACAATAGTGTGGCACAGATATTAAAATCAAATTAGTAAGATGTACCAGTGTTTCCCTTTAGCATGCAAAAATGACCTCCTGTGCAGATAATCAGCCTGGTTTCTCTGAGGTTATCTGTGGCAATGAAAAACACAAGTGCAACAAAATAATGAGCATGGTAACAGGTATATGAATTACTCCCTCCCGTCTCTCTGCCTTCTAACCATTCAGATTTATAGAAGAGTATTCATAATGTCTTTTTAATTATGTTTTAGCATGCTTTAGAAAAACCTATCAAATAACCCAAAATACTGACAAAGGAGAGGAATGCTGCTCTTGCAGTTATCAGACTGGGGCTCAGATCTCAATATTGCCATTGACTTCCTGTGTGACCTTGGGAACGTCACTTGATCTCTCTGCGCCTCACCTCCCCAGCTGTAAAACAGGGATAAATATTTCTCCTGCTCTCTCTCTCCATCTTGTCTATTTCAAGCATGAGAACTGTGGGGCAGGGAATGGTGCACTGGTATGTATTTGTGTAGGAGCTACTACAAGGAGCTCTGATCTTGACTGGGACCTCTGAACCATACTTGAGTATAAATAATAAATAAATAAATAATCCAGGCATTTACAACTTACTCTGTCGAGGCAGGTGATTCCTCCCTACATCATGGCTGGTATTAGCTATTGCAGCTGTCATGTGTTGGGAATACACAGGAACACTAAAGCTCGATCAGCAACACAGTGGGTGAACAAGAGGGCTGTACTGATGGACTGGCCCAGTTCAATCACTCCAGGGAGCCAGTGCCTGAGAACAAATCTCCCTGCCAATGTCCTTAGGAGCCTTGCTATAATGTATCCTGACCCTGTGCGATGACAAGTGGCAATGCTGGTCAGTGCAGCATGTTGCTTTGTCCAGTGAATGTGCAACTCTTAAGCCACCCGTAAGTGGGGCCCAGAAAGCTGCCTGAGGAGAAGTGCAAGAATTGTGTAACTGTTCTTTTGATGACGATGGTTAGTGTTTGGTAAATCAAGTCCTCAGCTTTATTCCAGTGTCACCCTACCTTCACCATCTGCTTGCTATCAATAGGATCAGTGACTACAGCTGCCACTACGTTGAACCCCTCATCGCACACACCATTTCCATTACAAACCAATTACAGAACCTTCTCCTTCAGTATAACTCATGTTTCTATTTGCACCAGTACATTCAATTACTCCGAACTCATTGAGAAATAGTGATTACAGGTAAAATCCTTGTATTGCTCTTTCCCTCAGAATTGGCCTTTTTAAAGATACCCATTGTTAGAGGGCCAGATCATCAGCTGAGGTAAATTGTCATCACTCCACACCAGCTAAGGCTTTGCTCCTTGACTTTCACAGTCAGGACTTCAGGATTTGACCCACTGACTTTTAAGAGAGAGTTTTGCATAGGTAATAATGGAGTGAAGATTTCAGGATTTGGTCCACAGATTGTAAGATCTTTTGGGAAGTGACTGTGTTGTGTCTTCTTCTAACTTAGCATCTC